CCCTTCCCTCTTCTCTCATTATATACATACGCCCTGCCTGCACCCAATGTATGCTCCCCCCTCCCTCCCCCCATGTTCATTGTAAACAGAAAATATAACTCATATCTTCATTCTTTATCCATTCTATATTCACCTGATGATTATTGATTACCTTTGTCGTCATTACTGATAACTCCTCTTAAGATTGTAAAGCTGTACACTTTCTTCCCCATCGCGCACAGTAGGAACTTTTTTCGTAAAAGAAATGCAAGTCATTAAATTGGAGGGAAAAAATGATGACGAGAAAATAAATGTCTGTGTTATAATTAAAAAAATGAAAGTGCACTATTATTATTGCCTGTGATAAAGAACAATAAACAATACAAAACAAATATGTGCCATTATGTTTCCTAATTACCTTGTTTTGCTCCTCATTTCATTTGTTAACAATATTTCTGTTGTTCTAATATATACATAATTTATAAAGGATGTTCACACCAAATGTTGATTTAATTTAGTTAATAGAAGCTAATTGATAAAGAAAATGTATGACATTATTTTTGACAGCATCCTCATTTTACAGCGTTTTTACACAAGTGCCTAAAACTTTTAACAGTGCTGTAGCTTTGCAGGTAGGTTTCTTGAAGCATCTTGGAGACGTTGCCACAGTTCTTCTGGATTGAGTCTGTCTCAGTTTGTTCTGTTTCTTCATGTCATTCCAGACAGACTGATCATGATCAGATCAGATCTCTGTGTGCAGCACTGGCTGTACGGAAATGTTCGGAAATTATTTCCTACTGACGCACTACAGCAAAAGATAGAAATAACTGACTTAAAACATTTTCTAGCTGGTGAAAAATTCTAATAATTTTGGCTACCACTGTATATATACTATATATACAGTATATATATATACAGTATATATATATATATATATATGTTAATGGAGATGAATTTGGAAAGTGGTATGTACATTGAAAAAATGTGTAAAAAAAAACATTTAAGAAGAGATTAATAAGGTTACTGCCAAAATATAGAGATATATCCTTCAGCAAAAAAGTTTAAATCACATTTTATGAAAGGAGATAGATCAGTTCTCCCAGACTGTGTCTGACTGCATTGATAAAATAAACGAGTAATAGTAAATATTGTCAAAAAGTTCCAGTAATATTTACATCTAGTGGATGTATGAAGTGAACTATATTATATAGCAACTAATTTTTTTTAATCAATAAGCCAAACTCCCTGCAATAAAGGTAGACATTGTTTTTCTCTCATTAAAACAAATCTGTGATTTAAATAAGTGCATATAACATAGAGACAAAGCTTTGATGACAGTTACAAATCCTTGCTGGCAGAGGAAAATTAGGCTATACAAAGTCATAAATTCTTCATACGTGCCGCGTGATGTCATCAGGTATGTAAATGAGATAGGTAGTGTGTACAGGGTTACCTCAGGTATGTGTTGCTTTCTGGAAGTGAAAGGGTGGAGGAGAACATCTGAAAGTTTACATCTGTCAAAAACTG